GGCTGCATCGACCACATATTCACCATTCGTCAGGTTCTAGAACACAGGCATACCTATCGGCGTCCGACAATGGTGGTCTTTCTTGACTTAAAAGCAGCATTTGACTCTGTAGACCGCGAGATTCTGTGGCAGTGTCTGTCATTGAAAGGCGTACCTCAGAAGTACATAAACCTTGTGAAGGCTCTTTACTCGAACACTACTAGTCGAGTCAGAGCTTATGGCGAACTGTCATCTACTTTTGCAACCTCAAGTGGTGTCCGTCAAGGCTGTCCACTTTCTCCATTTTTGTTTAACTTCATCATAGACCTATTGATGGAAATAACATTCTCGTCGACTGAATTCTCGGGTATTGATCTCCTTCCAGGAGGTCCACTTATCGACTTAGAATACGCAGATGACATAGTCCTGTTTGGTGAAGACGCTGACAAAATGCAGAGTCTTCTGGTAGCACTAAGCAACAATGCCAGAATGTTTGGGATGCGCTTCTCTCCCTCTAAATGCAAGTTGTTGCTTCAGGACTGGTCTGCGTCAACACCTGAACTAAGGATAGGGAGTGAAGTAGTCGAACGCGTTGACAACTTCACTTATCTTGGAAGTCTGATCAGCCCTAATGGGTTGGTGTCTGACGAAATCTCAGCACGGATTCGAAAAGCTCGTTTGGCTTTTGCCAACTTACGTCACCTGTAGCGAAGGCGAGATATCCGTCTATCAATAAAAGGACGAGTATATTGCACGGCAGTCCGTCCGGGTAAGTAATAGTGAGGTTAGACGCAGGGTATTAGGGAATGATGGTAAATCGGTTGATGAGGTTGTTAATCTTCATCGACTGAGATGGTTGGGCCACGTGTTACGTATGCCTGAACACCGATTACCACGTCGTACAATGCTAACGGGTGTTAGAGTTGGTTGGAAGAGAATTAGGGGCGGCCAAACCAAACGTAGCATCTGTGTTTGAAGTCACTAACGTCTAATCCGAGCCATGTTGGTAGATACAGATTACTTGGTTGGGGTCCGTGTGACTTTCGTGACCAATGGTTGGAGACCCTTGGTGACATGGCACAGAATCGATCACAATGACGTCGGTGTATACACTCTCTATCTTCCTTGAACTAAGAGATTAAAATTGCTTCATATCTTTCTTTCTACGAACTAATTCTTTCTTCCCGTACTATATCCTTATTGCAATCTTTCTTTTATATATTACCACCTCTAAAATAACTACTTTTATGAATCCGGTGTCCATCTTGTTGTGTTAATTAGGTATGGCAACTTGAACCGATGCATATATGTGCCTGGTCCTACGTTGTAGCTGACTGTCTGACTGACATAATGATGTTAATGTTTTGTGATTACTTTTCCAAGTCTATTTACACACGTTTGTTTGAACTTCTATTTCCAATGTTTAACTATTGATAAGACTTTTGTTATCATATTTTATTATTCTTACTACTTACTATCAGTACACTTGTCTTCTCTATTACCGACTTGTAATTTTACTTATTATGTGTAGAGACTGATTCTATTTCATTGTGATTATTGACCCATATTGCCTTGATTGGTTTAATATTTTCGTATAAATATTCACGTATATTAGAGAAAAGGCCTGATGACGATCTAATTGAAAACAATATTGTTCGCTTATATGTGTTGTTCTAATTTTCACAATGCGAGTCTTTAATATTCTAATATCTATTTTGTAATGATAAATAAAATAACAATACAATTTAATGGATATGGTAGTGAAGAGAACGACTCACAGATAAATTTAAAGAAGGTAAAAAAGAGCTTCCTTTCAGTTGTGAGTATTGAACAACAGATGAATTTAAATTCTGATTCATAGATCGGCCATTTATTTTAATTTTACGATTAATAATTGAAGCCCTTGAATGCTCTCACATAGTCACGAGTATATAGCCTCTCCCACGGAAGTCCTACTCACTGCATTCTCGCACCACGGAGTATTGTTTACCGAATTGAGTGGACAGGAAACGAGTACCCGGCACTTTAATCAGGTTGGTGGACACGAACAGTTCACCTAGGAGAGTTGGAAAACCCACACTTCAAACCAATCGTGCACATGGTCTCCAGTATCCTGAGGAAACAAACGGCGTCTGAACCAATCGTTGATCACCGGATACCATGAGACTGCATCTCCTTACCATACTCCACTGCCTTGTAAATCAGACCTTTGGGTCGATGGCTCCGAGTTTGACCCCCTATGTAAACCACCTTCTTCGATTTGTGCAGCCGAGCAGTATCACAACCCTCACACAAATCAAATGAGATTTATGTAGAGCATATGTATCTGAGGCACCATTGTGCCAGTATTTATTTGTTCAAATAAATAATAATAAATAAATCTTGCCTGTAATGGTTTTAAGTTGGCTATTTTTATTGTATACCATTTCATCATTTGTCATCACATGAAATTATTAAACAATCAATCAATATGAATTCATCCTTCATAATTATGAATAAAACTGAATGATTCGCTTTATTTGTTCATATTAGAATAGAATTTGTTCAGTCAACCAAACCACACTATTGATTCATGACCTATGATCAATAGAATGAAAATTGTTTTCATTCTATTTCATGTAACTAATCAGTTAGATAACTGGTTCAATTGGCAAACTAACGAATAGTTTGATATGACTGATTGAACCAATTACCATGTCGTACGGAATAAATCAGATATATATATATATATATATATATATATATATATATATAAGTGTGTGTTCACAGTTTAGCTAACTGGGTGATTCAAGTAGAATGTAAGTGTTGTAAATGTGAATTATGTTTGACTTTACATTGAAAATGCATAACATTGAATTGTATTTGAATAAGAATATTTGTATTGAAGGTGTCTACTAAAGTCTATTTTACAGTTGCATTTTGTGTAGAATCATCAAAAACGTGTTCAGATTGCAATGAGTCTATAATTTTATATGATTATTCTCATTCATTACAGACTGAGATGTTTATGAATGTTCAAAAAGTATAGGATTTTATGTGTTTTTTTGTGTGTTCACGGTGTAGTAGTTGATGTAGGTTCAGTGATGTTGTCATCATTCGACGATTATTTAATTACATATTGTATCCGAAGCAGGTTTTATTTCGATTTAAGGGTACACCAAATACATATGCTCTATATAAATCTCATTTGATTTGTGAGAGTGTTGTGATACTGCCCGGGTGCACAAACCGAAGAAGGTGGTTTACATAGGGGGCCAAACTCGGAGCATTCGACCTAAAGGTCTGATTCACAAGGCAGTGGAGTATGGTAAGGAGATGCAGTCTCATGGTAGCTGGTGATCAACGATTGGTTCATACGCCATTTGTTCCCTCAGGATACTGGAGACCATGTGCACGATTGGTTTGAAGTGAGGGTTTTCTAACTCCCTTAGGTGAACTGTTCGTGTCCACCAACCTGATTAAAGTGCCGGGCACTCGTTTTCTGTCCTCTCAATTTGGTAAACAATACTCCGTGGTGCGAGAATGCAGTGAGTATGACTTCCGTGTGAGAGCCAATATACTCGTGTCTATGTGAGAGCATTTGAAGAGGGAGAGTGTACTCTCCCTACTTCTCTGCCGTACCAGAGCATTTGAGGGAATCGTTTGTTTGTAATCATCATATCGACGAGCATCAATCATGGAGATTCAATGCGATTTCTTTTAGAACGTTATTGGTTGTAATGAATTCAATAAAATGAGTGTCCAACAACTGGTTCTAACTTACGATAAACATTCAAAGTCCTTGTTGACAGAGAATGAAATTCCTGTTTGTTTGTTTTAACTTATCTCTCATTCAATGGTTTCACTTTTGGTTTTACATTGACTACGATAGTTGAGAAATATACTTAGGAATCATTTGGAAAGTTCAATGTGGCGTTAAAGTTATCGAAGAAATATCAATCGATATGTTATTAATTGACTATTTAACATTTTCATGCCGACAAATAAAATACCATGTAGTACTTATAAGACCATGGATTGCTGGTTTTCCGTACAAAACATAAACTATAAATTTCGATAATGCAATGAGAAGACGTAGTTTATCAGAATTATGTGATAAAGTATAAAGCTTATAGTCTTTGCCTATCGTATAAAAGGTCACTAAATACGTCAATTAAACAGCGTCATAATAAGTGATTTTAATTTTATAATACTGACATCATTATTATGTACCCTTTTATTACTCGTTAAGTTGGCACAAAATCTCAAGTTTGTATCGTATTTTACTAATGTAATTTGACCAACCACTGTTTATCCAATCCTGAGACTACCTCATAAATCTTTGTTCCTCCCACCACTTCCCTCAACTCATAATTTTACACTGTCTTATAGTCAGTTGGAAGAAGTGCCGTCTGAGAATGCTGGCTCTCTGAATATTTGTTCATTATTTCGACAATATAAAGATCACAGCTAGATGAACTGTGTGTGTGTCGACATGGTCTTGACATGATTACACTTTTCTTTCTAGTATTTGAATTTTCAATATATAAACGATGTTTTAACTCATCTATTTCACTCAAATATGGAACACAATAATTTCGGTTGAAATGGTCGACGTCTTCGATTAACTGAGATATTAACTCTGGTTGATTAAAATCTGTGATTCCTAAATTGCATCCGCTGAATATGTGGATTGATCAGATATTTGTATTTTCAACGTTACCACTAGAATTAGTCAACGGTACTTGATACACGTTACAAAAGTTCACATATTGTAACATAGATATTTACTTAGTTGTTTATTCGCTTATGTATAATGATACATACCTCAGTAAAAGTTGATAGATGAAAATACACACCATTTATTGTGTAATAAGCTATGCCTACATACACTTCATATGTTTATGCACTTCAATTGACTAATTAATTCTTTCTTTGTCAGCATGTAGCCTTTATTGTTCGTTTATAGGTATCCCATTTTAACGATAGTTTTGGAAGTGTTCATTCTCACTGCCTCATGTGTATTGTGTTTGGATAATGGAATGGCAACACTACCACCAATGGGTTGGATGACATGGCAACGATTTCGATGTCAAATTGATTGTCACAACTACGCAGATGATTGTATTAGTGAAAAGTTGATTAAACGTACTGCTAACAGACTAGTATTAGATGGTTGGAGAGATTTAGGTTATCGTTATGTAATAATAGATGATTGTTGGCCAGAACGGAAACGGGATTCGAAGACAAACGAAATAGTTGCAGATTATAAACGATTTCCGAATGTGAGTTGTTATTTATTATCTTTCGTATGTGGTGCATAATTCGTGTTTTTTCGTTTGAATATCAAAGTTTGGTTACTATTTCCATTTGGATTGGTTCACAATTTGATAATCTGTGTGATATGTTTCGTTTGTAGGGCATTAAAAGTGTTGGACATTACTTACATTCTAAACATCTACTATTTGGCATATATCTCGATTATGGAACTCAAACATGTGAAGGTTATCCAGGAAGTATGAATTATTTGGAGGTGGATGCCGATAGTGTGGCTAAATGGGAAGCAGATTATGTAAAGATGGATGGATGTAACAGTCCGCAAAAAAGTATGTCAGAGGGCTATGGAAAGTTTTCCAAATTATTGAATGCAACTGGCAGACCAATAGTGTTCTCATGCAGTTATCCTGCTTATATTCCTTGGATGAAAAATACTAGTTTGATTGACTGGAAGAGACTGATAAACAATTGTAACTTGTGGCGTATGCTGGGCGACGTTCAAGATAGTTGGTCATCGGTTATTAGTATTATAAACGCATATAAACTCCAAAATGATGTGTTACCGAAGTTGGCTGGTCCAGGACATTGGAATGATCCTGATATGTTGTTGATGGGAAACTTCGGTCTTTCAGATGATCAGAAACGAGTTCAAATGGGTATGTGGTGTATGTTTGCTGCTCCACTATTGATCTCAGCTGACATGGAAAAGTTAGATAATTTCAGTGTATCTCTGTTACGTAATGCACGTTTATTGGCTATAGATCAGGATAAAGGTGGACATCAGGCGGAATTCATCAGATCACGAAATGATGTACAGGTGAGTTTATCATACTATTGTACTAATAAATTTCAACAATGTGGTGTATCAGTGTGAAATTGTGGAATACATTTTCGTGCTTGTTCGGACATATCAGTAAAATAAGACTGTGGTCTTCTTTGAAGTGACAATCCTCCAGAGATTTAAACAAACTTTTAAAAATGTGGCTGTTAGAGTATTTATCTGAAACAGAGATGGATCATGCGTAAAAGTGGGATCCAGAACGCGTGTCTTGATATATTTGGTACTCGTCAGCCGGTGTCCCTGTATCACAGTTTGATGTTCGTCAATTCATTAGAACACAGTACTTTAAATGGTTTCCCGTTTTTCCTTACGGTACTGAGTCCAGATAGCCACTGGCTTGTGCAGTCGGATGATTTTTATTGTATCTCATATATATATATAGAGAGAGAGAGATAGATGGATAAATGGGTATTCAAGTCTTTTGTTTGGTACTGAGGACTGAGAGGACATGTATAACGAGTGGTAATGGGTTGGAGTCTCACATTGACTGGCAAAATTTGAATGCAGGTAACTTCAACTGACAAGATCCGAATTGGATGAAATTCGAGTCCCCGACTTCAGTATCACCCGCCATACACCTCTGTTTACAAAGCTTACAACTTACTAACAACTTTGAAGTAATTCACGCAGAATAAAACATATAGCAAAACAGACTGATCAAATGTAATCGTAAACATCAATGTGAAAATCCAAATAACCGATACATGTGGGCTAAGAGACTTCATCACTGCATAACACAGGATGACTTTTTTCTAACCAATCATAACTAGACGACATAGAAATCACTTGATTGTGATTTCTACTCAATCAGACGAACTGTCATGTCACAACTAGATCAACGGGTTTTAATTCACAGTAAGACAATAGACAAAGTGATGTGAGTTCCAACCACTTCGTAAAGTAGTGGATGCAGTTATCAAGGAGTTGACTCTCGATAACAAATGATCGAAATCCATGTTGATATGCCATTAACGACTGCGTATCAAAGTTGAAAGTGAGCAATTGTTTCAAACTATTATACACTTTTCTAAATGACACAGTTCTTATCATTCTTGAGCATTGTCTTGCGTTTCATTTCATGTCCTCCTCAAATGTTATGAGGTGAAGTGGTGGTACGTTTCTTAAATACATTACGTGAACAAAACGTTTCCGTTTGTTTGAATGCTTCTCCCATATAGATGTGGATGAGACAATTAGATGGAGATCCAATTGGTTGATTGAGATAACTATTTTAATACATGGTGTTTTAGAAATCTCCATTCGGTCACTTATCTCATTAATGTGATGTGGTTTTATTTCGGTTGAAGCACTTGCTACGATGCAAAATACTATCGATATTTTAGTAATGTTGTGAAGTAATCGCTGAAATTATTGGAAGTAGTCAGTGACGCACGGATTGATTGGTTGATCTTACATGAATGAAAATGATAATGAGCCAGTAGTATATGAATGAACGAAAGCCTGATGTTATATTCGATGAGTAGTGAAGTCAATGAGATCACTATTGATAAACGTATTCTTGCTCATCTCATCACGTGTTATCTTGTTCATGACTTCTTTTTGTTTTTAAGTTTATTCAGACGTGAGGTACTGCTCCATGTCGACGTATTCGTTCAAGATGTTAAGGAATACTAGGTGACTGGATAGTGGCTGGATTTCAGTCAACATTATACCTCAGTGTATTCTGTCTACTGTTTTAGTTACATAGAGTGAATATATATTGAGTTGTATGGTTAGTTACATTGAGAACACATGACTTTGTAGCACAAATTTGAAGAGTTGTTCAACATAAATTTGTGTTGTGAAAAGAATCCATGTAGCGTCACCTTATTTTAAACAGAGGTTAAATCATATGTGTTGATTTGGACTCTTCTTAGTGTTGGTCATAGTCGGTATTCGTAACCGCTTATTTATATATCGGTTGTGAAATGATCGGACGTGAAAAAAACTTTCATTAACTCGAATGTTTCTTCGAGACTATCTTGACAAGAAATTCTGATTGTATTTTGAAATTACTGCATTGGCACAAACAAAACTGACTTCATCTTGTTTTCAACAATTATCAGTGGTGACCAACTTTGTTTGCCCAATCAGTAAATAAATGTAGTGAATGTTGAACTGAGGTGAATGAAATATGTGGTTTCGTGGGTTATTGTTGCTATCTACGTCACAGAAGTGTCATTTCACTCACACAAAACACTTTAGCTGTTGTAAGTCGTTAGTGAAGTTAAGCAGAAGAGCGATAGTTTCACTAAATATACTTTGGAGTAACATAGGCACTGTTTAAGTGTTTAACTCAATTTTACGAAGAATATAAGTAATTACATCATCATAGTTATCATTAACATGTAAAGGTATCATTGTTTTATTTAGTCATTAATGGAATATTTCAGTTAAACGCATAGAGATGGGATAGTAAGTCGAGTTCAGAACTCAGTTAACTCGTAAAAGCGTTTGTCAGATGATGGGATAAACGGTTTTCGAATTGTACATCTATATCTGTTATAGTATAATAAGAATGATAAGTCAATACTTGACGATATTCGTGGAGATCAGTTTCAGGTGAACATCAACTAGGCATCTGTTTAAGTAGTCTATGTCTGTGAAATGTTTGTCAAAACTGAGTCACTAAACAACCTAACCGATGCATGCATTTCACATGTATATTTTCATAATCTGTCATCACATGGTTTTAAGTCCGAACATTAAAGACCGCTTTGTATACACATCATACTTTCCGATCACGAATTTATCAAGCTGGACGCTTTTGATCTGTACAGATGAATTCATGGTAGCTTGATAACTCTTAAAACATTCATGTGTTCTTGTAAATGTTATAAATTGTATGAAATCTATGTTGTCAGTATGTGGAGAACTCATGAGTACCACAAATATTTTCAACGACAACCCTTAAATATTTGACAGCCTAATAGGTGTCTAATAGTTCTCTAATAAAATTGCTGAATCATGATTACATAATCACCTTCTGTGCTTTACACACATGCTTTATTTGATTGAGATTAAAGTTAACATCAAGCATTTTTTGCCATATTTTTATTTATTGGGCAGGTAGATAAGTGATTTTAAGTGTGAAATATAGATCTCTGTTTCACTTTTAAAAAAATTTTCTTAAACGTATATCGACAAATTACATCTTGAACGTGATTAGTTTGTCGGTAAAATGTCTCAGAAGTGTGAGACGTATCGATTGAAAGAAAATTAACCATTTTGAAATGGTGGAGAGGATTTGTAGCTCAGGTGGGTGATTTTAGCAAAGTTTGTTCTTTGAAGTGGATAATTTGGCCTTCGATCTTTAATTAGCGCAAACTTTAGGTAATGGTAAAGCGTTCAAATTTTTCCACATATGGCTCACAGCTTGTCCTGTTGACCTCCATGTTGATTGGTCATTACTAACATTTATCCTGTCATTGTTTACCTCTTTATTTTGATTGTGTATCTCATTGATTTGATTCTTGGTCCTCAATTTGTTCAAATCTGTTCTGATCGGCTAATAAATTGGGTCGATTTCAATGTCCTTGTTGATTTCTGATTGATCTGAATGTCAAGCTTCTGAAAATTCTCTGGTGTCTTAGAATTCTATTTACCCAAGTTCTCAACATTTTTCCAGTTGAATGTGTGCTCACAGTTGTCCACATGCGTTAATAAAATCGAGAGTATGTCATAGCGTTTGACCTCCAATTGATATTTATGCAGGCGAAAAGGAAGGGGGGTCCTTTTAGTCCGATGTGGTGTTTTTCGCAGTCCGAAACGATTTAGTTTGTAGATGATGTTCGGGCTTTTCCTTTTTGTCAATTCGTCCTTTGGATTGCGGAGGATTGCTTGAAAAGATTTCGTTGATTTATGTGCTATCCCTATTCCAAAACGCTTGTTTAATCTCGTAGTGATGTCTGATGTTTCGTCCTGTATGACGTTCATTTTATTTCAGTCTGGCATGTATTCACAATAACAATCTGTTTATTACTAGCTCACTGTGAATTCCATCTAGTAAAACATCCAGCAACGTAATTTGCATGAAATAGGTTTCAGCATTTCTCTCAGTTATGCTGTTTTTATTTATCGTTAAATTAATTTCAAACATCAGTTGACTCAATAAAAGTAGTATGTTTATTTGATTCAACTGTCGTTCAGTCTACCGGATTGCGAGTAAGATCTGTTTCCGACAACAGTTTATCTCTACATGTAACCTCCCTTTGGCAGTATTAGTTTTCAGTAATCATAAAACTGATCGCTCTACAGTGTCTTGTTTTGCTTCTTCGAAATGTGTAATTTGACTACCGATCAGTTTATTTTTACCCATGTGGCCTATCATAAATTTTTGATACAAATTCTAAGACTTCTCCAATAAGAAATGAATATCTGCTTATATTCACAAGTTACCTCTTAAGTAGTTCAACACCAGCCGTCAAATCGAGAGTAGTTGAAACGCCGAAATACTCAAAGTTACTTATGTTTACAAACCTATTGTGTTCGAAATTCACATTCGAAGGTTTTGGTTTTGTATTTCGTTATTCAGACTCTCAGTTGTGTGTCCAGTCTAGATAATAGAATAGCCAGATCTCAACCAGCGAGTTGGATGACATGGCAACAACATCGAAGTCAAAATGATTGTCTGGACTATTCAGAAGATTTTATCAGTGAGAGATTATCCAAATGTACAGCCGACATATATGTATCCATTGTTTGAAGAGATTTGGGTTATCCATATGTCATTGTTGATGACTGTTGGTCAGCGAAAACACGTGAGTTAGACATGATTGAGATGTTCATGGACCTTGAAAGAGTTCCTTATGAAGGTTGGTACTTGTCGTTTTGCTAGTAACTTGCTCCGTTTTAAAGTTCCGTTTTGACATCATATATGAATCAGCTTACACGGAATGGTGGACTGGAGGTAGACTTGTAAAAAAGATTATATCTGATGTAAATGCTAAGATCAGCATGTTTCCAAAACGACTGATTTCGTGCATTCAGTTACTGGAGTTTTCATAGATAGCGGGAATATGTTTTGCATATGATTTTTTAAATAGGAACGTATCCTTAAAGCTCTTTTAAGATTATCGATGTGTTCATCAGTCCCTATTTATATTTTCGCTTATATGAATTTTCATCTAGAGTATGTGGATATCCTCAATATACATTGCAACTATTCAACATATTGACACTAGAGTTTTAAATACGCATATCCGATGTTTTCATTTGGAGATACATACAATGCATTCCGGTTGAAACAGAAACTGAGATGTTTGATTTAGATAGAAAATGCCAATATGTGTTATGCTGACTGCTTTACACCGTTGTTTGATAACTAAATGTTGATATGAAGATAATGATCAGCAACAACATCGAAGTCAAAATGATTGTCAGGACCATTCAGAAGATTTTATCAGTGAGAGAGATTCATCAAACGTACAACCGACATATATGTATCCATTGTTTGAAGAGATTTGGGTTATCCATATGTCTTGTTGATGACTGTTAGTCAGCCAAAACACGTGATTTAGACATGACTGAGATGTTCATGAATCTTGAAAGATCATCAAAGCCTCGTTCAAAACAAAGAAAGAGGGTATTTCAATGAACATCATCCAATGCTATGCTCCTACCAACGACTACAATGAAGACGCTAAAGATCAATTCTATGATAGGCTGCAGTCAATCGTCGAGAAGTGCCCAACAAAGGACCTGACCATTCTGATGGGAGATTTCAACGCCAAGGTTGGAACGGACAACACTGGATATGAAGACATCATGGGACGACACGGACTGGGAGAAAGAAACGAAAATGGTGAGAGATTTGCAAATCTATGTGCCTTCAATAAGCTGGTCATAGGCGGCACCATATTCCCACATAAACGCATACACAAAACCACATGGACTTCACCGGATCACTCTACACAAAACCAAATCGACCATATTTGCATCAACAAAACGTTCAGGAGGACTATAGAGGACGTGAGAACCAAGAGAGGAGCTGATATAGCATCAGATCATCACTTACTGGTCGCCAAGATGAAATTGAAACTCAAGAAGCACTGGACAACGGGGCGGACAATATCACAAAAGTTCAATACGGCCTTTCTTCAGGATACTAACAAACTCAACAAATTCAAGATAGTCCTCAGCAACAAGTTCCAGGCCTTTCATGATCTACTCAATGGAGAAGGAACTACTGTGGAGAGCAACTGGAAGGGGATCAAAG